CGATGCTCTTAGATTTTCCAGCCGTACCTGGGCACATAGTGGGTTGTCAGTGCATACTTCCCAAATCAATTACAATTTTAATACTTTACCTACCTGAAATGCTATTCTGTGGTTTTATTTAAACTGGTTGTCAGTATGGAATGACTTCTGCATTCTCTCCTGGAAGTGGGTGAATTTCCATGGTGAGCAATTCCTCTATATACAGTTTGCAAATCATTTTGGGAACCTTCCAAATGAAAGGCACTGTATAAATATACCCTCCCACCAGCAGCCAGCCGGCTTTCCACCGGGATGCATTTGCATCGCTTATGTACATAGTGTTTCATTTGGGGCATTGCTTTTATTTTTATGACCATAAAAGAAATATTCACAGTATGAACAATAATGTAAACTGCATTCAGGAAGATATATATTTGAATATTTTCGTGATTCAAAACTTAGAAATCTGAAAGAAAAGCAGGCATGGCATTTTTCTTTCCTGTTGCTGTTTGCTTTTTCAAAGCATTCTTTATTATTCCTCAACTTTAGGGTGGAATTTTGCTGAAATACTCAAGTCTTTGTCTGTACCTCATTTGAGTTTATATGGTGGTGGGCTCAAATGAATACTGCTGGTAAAAGGCCTGGGAATGAGGGGTATTTGATTTTGCATTTATTCATGTCTGTAATGAGTTTGCTTTTGCACAGCCTTTTTGTGGATGGAGGTCTCTTTAAAGAGAGCAAAAGAAAAGGAAGCTACCTTAGGTATAAAATACCTTCTAAATAACATTGTAATAATGGGGACATTCACAGATGGGAGAGACTTAGCCTACGTAACAAAAGGGGGGCTCATTTCTTACAGCTTGTTACTGGGGAGATAAACTTTGAATTCACATCATACAGAAAATGTTTAATGAATTTAGAAATAAATTGCCAACAGACTTACATCAAAACTTCTGTAAATTATGTATTTTCCTAGAATCATCTGCATACAAAATAATGTGAATTTATCTTAATTTATCAATTTCCATCATTAATTACTTTTCAATGGAATGAAATACCCCACTCCAGATATATTTTCTAGCATCGAATATATTATCGAATCAAGGAGTTCCTTAAAAAGAGGAGCTATTCTGAATAGTCAGCGTAATTCTGAATAACAAGACCCCTAAAAAGGTAGGTTGAATCAAACTCTTCCTCACTTCCCTGAAGAAAGATGAGGAAAGTGTGGAAAATTAAGTAGAGGTAGAATCAATAAGAATTTGAGTTCATTTTCTGTGTTCACAACTCTCTCTCATAAACACCAATTTTTATATAGTATTTTCTCACTTTTCATAACTAAAACAATGTGATTTTACAAACCTCATCTATAATGTAGAAATATTAAGAAGTAGCTGACTCGTGTTACTTTGTGGCTTATAAAACAGATGCTATTTTCTTTTTTTCTCCTCAGTCAGAATATTATTCTAAAATCTAATTTCATATTCCCAATATACCAACTTTGTTTCATTAATCTGTTGTAAATATCTTGACCCTTTTCTTATTACCATAAAATAAAAGTTTCTTCAATTGAGAAAAGCTATAAGCATGGATTGATCTGCAGCCTTTTTTTTTTTACTACAAAACCCATAATGCTTTGCTGTATAGCCTACAATCCCCATACTGCAGCATCAAACATACTGTTAACTATCCTGTTACTGGCAAAGGAAGAAACAGAACATCTGAACAGAACTATGTAACATGCAAGAAGTCAACTTGAGTAGTAAACTACTAATTTTTTTTAGTGTTTTGAGATTTACTCGCACTTCCCTTTAGTAAACAATGAAGCATATATATTGATAAGCACATTGCCTTATCCTGAATAAAATGTTATATATTCTCAATGTCAAGGTGTATACCTCTCATACCAAAGCCTTTGTTTCTACACCCTTCATTGAGTCCTTCTTTCCCACCTCTTTTTGGAGGGAGGTCAGCCTTATTCAGATTTTAAAATGAAATCACAATACATTGTTTAATGCTCTAAACATCTGCAAATGAGAATTCAGTGAAGTAATTAAAATTCTTAATTAGATGCACCTTGCAGCTGCTGTTAGTTTTAATTGGCAATAATGCAGCTACATTTTGTTCTGACACATATCTTCAGAAGAGTTAGAGAGAAAACTGAAGGGAGGCAAGAGGAAAATGTTCCCACACAGTTCAAGACAGTTCGCACAAAAAGGATCCCATGGCAACAAACAGCGAAGCCCACAGTTGGCTCTGTAGGATCCAGGAATAGACAATGGTTCACCTTGGATTCAAACAAACACTTTCCTCCTGGATCTGAAGCGAAAGCATTTTAAAGCATCTTTCACAATAAGAATGAAATGGTCAAATGTTCACCTGTATGTTTAAGATACTTCTCAATGCTTCTGGATGCTCTTGTAGCACATGTCAAGGCAATAATTTCAACTTATGCTCTGTGTAGAGTAACAAAGTGATGTGCAGAATCACTGAAAATAGAGGACTTAAATTTTGTCCTCTACTGAGCTGGACCACACCTCGGCAACTAGTTCATTTTAACTGTCGTTCTATAGACAAAGCAACCAAGATGAAGAGAAATTAATGATTCCCATGGGTAATCATACCTACTTGCGAGTTGGGTTTAGACTCACATCTAGGGTTTGAGCCTATGGTCCAGGATTTTTGCTTCTAAACTTCTCTCAGCAGCTAAATTTATCAACTGTAACTCCTCCAGGTTTCCTGAGGTATTGTTCTTCACTTAAGTGAGTCAGCAAGAGGAGTGTGCTGGAAGGTATAGAAAATATGGATCACTTATCATGAAGGTGTACGGGGATATATTTCTTGTTTACCGCTGGTCCTCAGATTACTCTGAAATCTATAGCATGTGGAGAAAGAGCAGGGAGTTCAGAAGGACTGGCATGCAGGAGGTTAGCCTGGGTGAGTTCCCTTCAGAACACCCACCCCCAAGACTTCCCTGCACACTTTCACCACATCTTCCCTCCCTTCAGAGTGGAAAGTTCAATGGAATGCTCAGTCCTTCAAACTAGAGATTTATCTTTCCAGTCTCCCAACTCACATTTCTCTGCACTTGTGTCCTGATTTAGTTTAGCTTGCATTAGCTTAGCTTACCTTAAGTTTTACCTTTTTTTTTTCTGTAAGTGTTTCCTTTATCTTCAACTTGTGTTTTCCTTCCTAAATTAAATAAAAATAGTTCTCAAGGGCCAAGGCTGCTTTGCCTGTTTATTTTTCTAGTTTTGGTTTATCCTATTCAACCTTCCTTTATAAAAACTTGTGGAATACATTGTAGAGTGGGTCAAGGTTTCCAAGAAAACCACAGGCGATGTGTGGGAAAGGTGAAAGGAGGAGTGGGGAAGAGAGAGGGGTGGTGTCCGTGTCTGCCCGGCCTCTCCACAGTCAAGAAGCTAACAGTGTGACTGCAGTGTAAATATTAACACTCCCCGAGGGGCTTGATACTCCACATGTGGCCCCTAGTCCGGTAGCATTGTTACGGTCCTTGGAGCAGCTTGTTAGAGACTAGACTCTCAGGTCTCACTAGGGAAGGGTTGATTCCGAATCTGCGTTTTAACAAGACGCCCAGGTGATTTGCATACTGTTAAGTTTGAAAAGCACAGAATCACCATACGTATTATACAGTCCGGGGTAAAAGGATACGGACTTCAAACTGAGCAAATACTTATTTACCATAACCCACTTTGCCCCCACCCACTTTTTTTCATCACAAATCCATTTCAGAAACCCTCGGAGAACAGTTCCCTCGGGAACGCTATTACGCGGTGGCTGGGAGGAGGGTCCAACTCGACCCTCTCAGCTCTGCCGCACCGCCCATTCCCTCGTCCGGCTCCCGCTCCCGGCTCCCGCTCCCGGGGAGCTTTCCAAAAGCGCTATTCTCCCAAGCTCCACTTTCTTAGGGAAGATTTTGCTCCTCCCCAAATTGAAAGCGCGGCGACAGGGAGGCTTACTGCCTGAAGGGCTCACACTTTACATACCAATGGCAACCGAAGCGCTTTGCGAAACAGCCTGTGAGAAACAAGTAGCACTTCGCCACCTGAGACTCGGAGCAGCCCTCTCAAGCCCCTCCCTTGTGAAATCCTTTTTAAAGGGATAGAGGGGGGGGAGGGAGGGAGAGAGGGGG